TCTGAGTCATTCGATCTCGTCTCCCACTTAGGAGAGACTGCAAAAACATGTGTGTGTAATGAAAACATTGTCCTCGTGTTTACGGATGCTGTTTGCAATTGTGGTCGAGGCCTTCTAGGAACTGTGGCGGGGGTTGGAATATGACGGTGACTGAAGCATGTAAGCCTGTCAGTGCCTCGAAGCAAGCGATCCCCCTTGAATCATTCACATTATGACGACATGAGGTCATTGAGGGGATGGTGCTGATCCGTAGGGGATGAACTATGACTTCGAACGCTACAATTCCGTGAAATCCCATTCCTTTAAAATTTCTATCATCAGGATGCAGTAGGGCGTCATGATGTAGGGCGTCGTCAGACTAAGCCCCCGCCCATGCAACTACTTTTGTACTGTATCGACGCTATGGGAGGGGGCAGGTACCCTGGAAATCATAGAACCTTCGGTTTTCTTAGGAGTTGGCATCTTGTGTAGACAAGGGTAGTACACATTTAGCTGGAAAATTTCCCCCGTTGGGGGCTCTGTCCAATGCACTCCGGTGTCATGGCATCCAAACGGTACCACTACCTGTCGCAATTGCTGGAAACTATGTGGCTACATGTGATATGCTGGCTGCTATGTGGGTCTAGGATGACGTGAGCGACTTCAACGCAAAGGTGCCACTATTATCGTATAATTCCAATTCTCATGTTCCTGAGCAAATCGAGCACTTCGAAATAATCATGTGGGTTGTTCGAACTACGTGACACACAAATCACATACTAGTACTAGTACATACTACTGTAGTACTATATATGTACCGACTGATAATTATGAATCGTTGACTTTCCATTGTTGACTGACTTTCCATGTTGAAGTTACTACTGGATGTAACCGTTGAAGTACCCAAACCCTAGGAATCCTACAGCTCGTACACACTACAAAGAATCAAAACAGCAAGCTGAAACTCAGACCCTGCATATCCAACGGCCAATGTGAGTCTGATTGTTAAAAATACACTACAACTTTCTTAGTATGTCACGTCGCCAGCTACTGCTGATATTGTACAAGATCACTTAGCTTTAGCTTTTATAGAATAGACAGCGAACGCGCATCTGGTATTCTTCTTTTACTAAAGCCGGCAACCACCACTAGGCACGTCAATCACTAAGCCATTGCAACTCTGAAATCAACGGCAAGTCAGATTGTGTGGCCCAAAATGAATCTGCATGCGTACATATGTACGTTGCTTCATGATGTGGGTCGACAGGTTTCACTAACACAGACTCGTTTGATTTCATAGACTGTAACAACAGGAAGGAGCGGAATCCTTCGACTTCGTTACTATTATACACTGAGGATGCTCACTTGGGGACTCTACATCCAGGCAAATAACTCCAACGAAGACCGAGGCATAACTGGACTATGCACCATAGATACCACAGGCATTCCAGCCAATACCGGATGTAACGTTATATATGTCCTGATTGCAGTTCGTTGAGGGGAATAATTTAGGGTCGATTCTAATCATTAACTGCAATACAACTCGAATGACTTA